TGCAATTTAACCGCGCGGAGCGCACCTTCCTCCATCCGCCTCCACCAACTCAACTTCTTCAAGACACTCATACACCAACTCCCCCACTCGCCTTCTGTCTCGGCTCTCCAATAGCCTCCAACCATCCTTCTCCAGCCAACCCTTCTCCCTCAATCGAGAGATCACCCCAAACTCTCACACCTTGTACAGCACTCTCTCTTCCACTTGCTTTCCCAATTTTGTGTCCTCTTTCCTCCAAATATTCCTGCAATTCTTCATCAAATCCCGGTTCTACGGTCGTTTTTTCGGGTAGTAATTGATCATGCATTCTAGGTTGCTTTAGTGCTTCTTCGAGAGACATGCCGTGATCGATTATGTTGATGATGGCTTGAATTGTTGACGTGGGGATTCGTGATCCACCGGCGGCGCCGATGGAAAGGAAGTGGGAGCCATTAGGGTGGGAGATGTGAATGGGGGAGATGGAACTCATAGGGCGGGCACTAATGTTGATGGTTAATGAATAGTATATTCGTACGCAAAGAAGGCTCGGACTTACTCAGGACGAACATAGTTCATAGGTGAAGGAACGAAACCAAAGTAATTGGGAACGCCAGGGATGGAGAAATCGTCCATCTCGTTATTAAGAATAACTCCTGTTAAATTGTAAGCAAAATTATTGATTCAATATGCTTTGAAACGTGGGTGAAGAGAGACAGATTAGCTCTGCAAGTCATGAACCCAAAACAAGAAAACAAGTGTTCAGGATAACATACCAGTCTCGGGAACCATAACGGCAGAACCGAAAAGTAAATTGACGGTTGATGTTGAGGTTATTGAAAGACCTGAAGCGTCGGTAGCAACCATATGCGATGTCCCATGATTTCCCATGATATCCCACCTTTCTGGATTGTACCTTCCAACGTCTTGTGTCTTATCGTCTAGGATCTTTCGTCTATTAGAATCTGCAGTCTCAGCTGAAATGATTTCTTCTTCGAATCTAACCATCTCGTCAAAAAATGACGGGTCTCCTAGCTCGGAATGAGCGGCATATGAAAAACGCATGGCTTCATCGAGTCGATGGGTATTCAGAAATAAATCGGATTCTTTATACATGTCATATCCTTCAATGGTCTTAAGAATGCTCAGGGCTATGGAACCGCCGGAGGGAGTGCCGGTTGAATGGATAGTGTAGCCACGATAAGTGATGTTGATGGGATTGCGAATCTTGATTTCGTAATCTTTGAGATCGGCCAAAGTCATGGTTCCATTTGTGGCCTTTATGGCTGCAATGGTTGCATCTGCAATTTCCCCTTCGTAAAATGCCGAAGCTCCTTTGTTAGCAATCGTTTCTAGCGTGTTGGCATATCGCTCTCTTTTCATTGTATCACCCAATTCAAGGAGTGTACCGTTCGGAGCGAAGTCCATAGCCCAGTTTGGATCCTCTTCAAGAAAATTCCAGTCGACTTGATTCTTAATTGCTTGCATGTAGTAAACTGTATCTTCCGTCACTAGTCCAGATTAGTGACGTACATAAAGAATTGTGAAAGCTACATACCAGGAAAACCATTTCTAGCGATATGTACAGCTGGATTGCAAACGATTTGCCAAGGTAGTTGCTGGAGAATATCAGTTAAGCATCATCATCTCAAACTGACGAAGTACATACTCCATATTTATTGTGAAGATATTCAAGTCCTCGAAGGTCACCTGGAACAGCAACTGCATCTCCACCGACCACGGCTCTACTGCGATCTTTTCTAAACATGTCTCGATATGCAGCGGCTGGAGCTGTCTCTCTATAGTCTGCCGGAGTGTAAGCTAGGTGAAACAAAGCGAGCCTCCCGTGCATCTTACCTATGGTTTCGTATTCCCCTTCTGAGCTACGTACTAGCATAAAGCCCCCTCCACCTATACCACTATGATACATTCCTTAAGAGAATTTGTAAGCCTAATACGGGGGGGAGGGCGATTCTTAAAAATGAGGAACGGCCTTACCGATGACACCAACGCATAGAGTGGTACCAACCATAGCATCTGCGGCATTTCCCTATACCACACACGTGATAAGTCTCAAATCAATTATCAATAGGGGAGTCACTTACACCTCTCTCTATAAGCTCCGCTCCAACCTCACTGCATATTTTGCTTTCACTCGCCACTGCTCCACGATTGCCAGTGTTTGTGACAGTGGAAGAGCTAACACCATGCAAGATCCAGAGTGTGAAGACCCAGCAAAGACGGCCTAAGCCAATTCCGCTCATGTTGAAAGACTGTAAATCTAGGTTGATTGTATCAGCATATGGTAGTTATATCTGCTTCATACCCAAATCATTTGCATACTTGTACTTCTCGAGATGATTTATTTCCTTGACCGTACCGGTATGGGACGAAACAAACAGTGATGAAGACCGCTAGTTACTTCGAATTGCCATAAACCCTTGAAAGTATGTGACAAGGGTGGGGCTCGGGCGATCTTTGGTCTGATATTGTTGACAACCCTCAAAAGTGATGACAGTAATTCACAAGCTTGAAATTTAAGCTCGGAGAATATGTTATCGAATAATAAAGGAATGAAGTTCGACATGATTGCGAAGTTTTGTCTTATCTCAGTCATTGCGGAGCTTATTTTGCTAGTGGCGGACAAGTCAGTCAAACTCAAAGCATTACCTGGTAGTTATCATTTCGCGAAACAATTAGGTATGGATCAGACTAAAGTAGAAGCCAGATAGCGTTTAACGCGTAAGATAGCGCTTGTGATTGATTTTCAGATTAATGATTGGTCAGGTCTTTCAATGCCCAATGTTAATCAGGTGATCACGTGTCGCCACCTTCTTTATTTTTTGATGGATTATCAAGAAGTAAGAATTAGTGAACTCCTGACACTTCAATCCTACCTCTTTCAACCCCATTTCACTTTCATGCAGATTTACTTATCACCGTCACCATCACCATCACCGTTGTGATATGCCACACTCACCCACTCACTCATCCATCCACTTGCTCACTCTCTCAACTCTGATATCAAGAAATTATAGATCAAGGCTTTGGGGAACCTTAGGCAAAGCCTAGAATATTATCAGGCTGAAGTTCTTCGACCAGATACCGTGTCACTTGCCAGCAGTCAGATCAAATCTCACCACATCATTTTTCTTTCTACTCGTCACAATCTTGGCATGAGTAGGGCGACGGTCCGATTACCTATTAAATGAATATATATCGTGCAGTAGATTCTGATATCCTCAACATCGAGTCGGACAGGAAGTTTTCAGTGGCTTCTAAGGCGCAATTCTCATGATCACTGACACCCACGGAAAACTCCAATGTCATATGAAGAGCACAAGACCATGTGGCTGCCGGATATTTACTGACATGCATAGATGATCAATAGCTTTGTCAAGATAAGGCTGAAGAGTGTATATTTGAAACAATGGAACAATGCGTTCCGTGAAATGCCACACTCTTGAGAACACAACATACATTCTGATTCAATGCAAGAGCATAACAAGCAGAATAACTTGACTTTCAGCCTGGAACGTCATGGCATCGCATACACAGATCCCGGCAAGTAAGTATCCGTCAGCATCATTTGTTAGACAGTGGCTTCATTGCTGATGCTTAGTCAATACAATCACAAGTCACTAGTCACGAGACTCAAAGTTTGGGCGTATAATTTATTTGTTCTTGACATAATACTCTGATTACTAGCAATATGACTTTGAGAAGCTGCACTGAAGGCGATTAAGCCTTACTTTGAATGATTTGTGCCACGCTCGCAGTGGAGTCCAATCAGGTTACTGAAATATTGAGTACAGAAGAAGAAACGATAGCCGGGTAGATCGTCAGAATCAGCCTGATCCAAACCTTCTCTTGCTCTCCGAATGCCTGATGGCATGAGATGTTATTGAAGAGACTCACCTTATGGAGTGTATCAGCTTTTTGTCCCTTGGTCGTCTTAGAACACAAACAAGGTTGCTATTTTTCTCCCATTAAAATGATGCCCCCATTCGTCCATCCTCGATTCTCTACGCCTACGCAATATCTTAGAAAACAGCATTGTGTTGGCTTTGTTCTGGTGATTGACTACGGTTTTTTCTTCATACTTGCTGTTGTATCTGCTTTGGCTGTTTAAATAATGGATGAACTAGTATCCAACCTTCAAAACTATCCAAGTGTTGGAAATGGGGCCAAGATGCTCTCATATAGCTCCTTGCATTGTCAATTGTTCCTTCACACATCTTGAATGAACTTTCAAAACACCCTTACATTCTGCAGTAAGCCAACACATGATGAAAAGTACACAAACTGGCTAACTTCATCGAACTTCCCTTCAGAATTGGTGCATGGAATAGTTTACAAATGGAAAACAGATTGTGGATGTATGTAAAGGCTACACCGTAAAGAAATTTCTTTTCTTGCCGTATGCATTTTCTTTGGCTTCCTGTACCATATGCTTGCATGGTCATCATGTACATGAAAAAAACCTCTGAATTGGTCAACCTCTGTGAAGTAGTATGAAATTGTCCCACTAAAGAACTTATGAGGAGCACCAGATAACCTGTGCAAGTCTTTCTAGAAATTCACAATGTGAAAAAACATGGAAATGTACCTTCGGATTAGCGCCAATCAAATTGCCAGAAAGAACGGACTTATGTTTGGGTGATCTATTCCAGAAAATAATTCACGGTCTGAAGTTGAATGTCTTGTTTTTGTCTAGCAAGCTGCTGTAATGTTAGCCTAGCGTTCTAAGTGTTTCTTTTTAAGACAGCAATCAGGTCCCTTCTCTAGACTCGACTCGGCTCAAAAGAACCTTTCTACAGATAATCCGACCTTTAAACACTTCTCAATCAACAATTACAATTCTTTCCTTCCCATCATTGAACTACCTTGAAAAAACAGTCGACTCTTGGGAAAAATTTACAACTATCTACCTATCTAAGAATGTCACGGTAGCTAGCCTTTTTATTCTTATACCAAGAAGCATTGTAAACACTGCATCTAAGATATACGAAGCAATCAGCAATATGTCTTACAATCACAATGGAGGAGGTGACTTCTCTTGGTACATCAACCAGCAAGTCTCCCTTCCTATCGCAATTTCGACTAGCAATGATGTAGCTGGTAAGTTCCCGAATCTGTCGATGTTTTCTTCGCTTGCTTTCTCTACATCGGGGTCCTTGGTTTCTAATTGTGTCTTATAGAAGGAGTAAAAGCCACTGCAAGCACTGACACGTCCTCCACGAATCCGACCCCCACTGAGTTTCAAGCAGAGTGGCCCTATGAGAACAGCCAGCATGTAGAAGGTTCATCTCAAGGCTGGTACTCGACTTCGGATTTACGCCAGAATACCGCGATCCTACCTCAAATGCCACGATCGCCTTGTCAATATAGCTCAAATGTAGACAACTTTGATACACAGGTCAATGGAGGACTTCCAAGCATGACAGGTCTTGAGATCTATTCTACTCCTGACGAGATTCGATACAATCCGAGCCTCCAGAACGATTTCGGAAGTGGTAATTCTTCTGTCTCGCAACAAGATACGCCATTAGGCGAATTCTCAGACGAATATAACATGGAATCCACCACTATTGGCTTCAGAACACCAGTCCCATCAAAATATCAGACAAATACCAATTCATCTGTTGGCAGTGATACTCCTGCAGGTTTACAATCTTCAATTCAGGTTGACAATCCTCCATTTGGTATTTCCACTCAGTTTGCTAGCAGCACCCAAAATGGTGAAGCTCCACAACAAGAGTCAACGTCTCAAGGTGAACAATATCAAGCTGTATTTTTCAATGAAACAATGGCAGCTCAACTTAACCGTCCACTAAGCGCGCCACCTGCAGGCCACTGGGTATTGGAACAGGGATTGGAACAGGGATTGGAACAGGGATTGGAACAGGGATTGGAACAGGGATTGGAACAGGGATTGGAAGAGGGACTTTCATACACTCCCACTGGTCTCGACATACCGTTACCTTTGAACCATTTGCCTAGAGCGTCGCCGAAAATCGTTCCTCTGGCATATTATGGTCACTGGGAATACGATGGCTCATCAACAGGCCCGGCGATTGACAGCGATGTCCCGATCTTACAACCATCCAATGACATCCGAAACGATCCTTCCGGTACATTGGGTCAAGATGCTGGAGCTATCCAAGGAACGCAACCCCAACAGCAACCGTGGCAGAATAATGACTTAGGTCAAGATGCTTCTGTAAATATACCAGCGTCATTTCAACAAAGTAATGTATCGAGCACGCGTTCACCGATACAATCAGATAGACGTAGACACAGCGATCCAGCATCTGTCCCAGCTCGTGGAGCCAGAGATTCACAACAAGGAGTACGGGTTCCAAGCCAACTTTCGGAGCAAGCTGCACAGTATCAAGCTCCTTCTATCAATACACCACGAGCACTTCAACAGAGCGGTGCAATCGAGGACGCACTAGGAGCTGTAGGTAGCCGCAGGCTCAGCGACACTTCTCCCGTTCCAGCCCAAGAGCTCCATGATACCAATCCATCGCCTACTGGTTTCCGTACCGAGCCTTGGCGAATGAACAAGGAACAAGCTGCGAGTCAGTCTGGTTGTGTTGCACAGCAGCCAAGTGAGCGCCCTTTAGCTGTCCATGAATTTAACAGCAGTTATCCCGTTGGGCCTCACATGACGTTCGTATATCCCGAGAGTTCAAACCAAAATACCTTTCAGCAGCCAGCCAAGCAACGTGAATCGGCATCCTTTACGAGCGGTAGTGCCAGATTGAGAGAAATTGCGAGACCTCCAATGCAACTTCTTGCATCTGCTCCGCCAGCTGTGACACCACAACAGCAGCCCACACAGAGAGATAGACAGCCAAGACAGTCCGATAGACAATCTGCGCAATTGGGTACTCCTTCTACACAGCAGAGCCAACGTGTACCTCGGCGGAGATCAAATCGATTCCATATTGGTCCACAGGCAGACTCCCCACAGGCTCAGGGGACCGGTTCACAGCCAAGAATCCCACAAAACCGGTTTGATCGTAAGCTTCCAAGTCGATTGAACCCCAAAGCTGCTGCTTTTGCCAACGTCGAACCAGCAGAAGACTTCATGAAGACGCTCTCCAAGATGCATTTTCTAGATAAAGTGGCATGCATTGATCGATTGATGCGTGAAGACCTCTTCAAAAGTTACATGAATCCACATCTCTTCCGAGAGTACAGCACAGGTCATGAGGACGGTTTGAAGTTTGACCTGGAAAGGCGTATCAAGGGTGCATACCATGGTATGATCGAAAATACAGGGATAAAACATGAACGTCAAAATCTCAAATGGAAGACCACGTTTGATGACAAGCAGATCGAGAACGAGCGTCGCAGGAGGGAACTTGCTGCTCGTACAGCTGCCGGTGGTATGGCGACTGATATTTCTGATGATATTGGAATGACACCCGCCGGCAGCAAGCGCAGGCATCAAACACTAGCATCGGCTCCGGATTCTCACTATGAGATTGACGACGACGATGTGATTGAGTCCGACGATGGCTCCGATAACTATTCAATGGTCCATCCTCGCAACTCGCCAAAGAAGCCTCGAATTTCCGAGCCAACATCTTCAGGACCAAAGCCTTCAGATATCACGGATAAGTTCTGTTCGCATGCTGTCGAGAATATTCCTTTCCTTCCTGATCCCATCCACAGTCAATTGCGCGTTCTCAGCACTGAGCAACTCATCATCCCAGCCCAAGAGTATATCGCTCAGAATGGTGAGATCGCCGACACGAATGTTGAGCACTGGCGTGCTTGTGCAGGACAGGCTGCTGGCACCGAAATGGAGCAAGAAATGGCCTGCACACATTGCGTTGACCACATGCAAGGTGGTTCTGTACCCTTTGCAAGCTGTGTAGTCATTGGCGCAAGCATTCCGGCTGGAAAGCATTTCAAAGGTGCTTGCATGAATTGTGTCTATCTTGGTAAGGATCAAGATTGCAGTCTTCGAGAGGTCGAGAGTGAGGAAAATGAAGCTCAATAAATTTGAGGTCAATAGGCTGGGAAGCTGGAAAGCCGGGGGGACCTTCTATTTGAGGTCTATGAAGTCGAAATGAGGTCGGCTTGAGTTCTATGGAAATGGGTAAATTCTTTGTTCAAAAAGGTTGTTTCAAGCTTTTTGAGGTGTGGGATTTTGCAGTATTCACTCTCATTATCGGAATCGGTTGATTGTATTCGGGGCGAAGACCTCGGATCTCGGGACTATAGCACCCAAGAGAAAAGGATGTCCCGTGAGGAGTATTCCATGGGAGCTGAGCTGAGCACGAGGACTAAACGTTACTCTTGCTGTATCTGAAAATTGGTAGGCGTTTTGATTTCGATCTGTATCAAGTTACCACCGCAGTCTAGTTTAAGGCGGTGTGTTAAAAAAAAAGACAATATGAGACTACCTATTGCACTGTCCTAGCTTTCTGCTAAGTAACATCTCGGGAGGATATTTACGTACTGATTTAGTTTCTAAATATCAATGAAAAGTTTCTGTCCAGGCAAACATGCAAGTGAATCATATCCGACCATAACTGTGCGCATGCATTCCTTAGCCACCTTTCCGTTTGACCTTGAAATTTTTGCAGTTTTATTATCAAAATAACATCGAAGGCCAGAATAGTCCACTTCTGAGGCGGTTGAATGACACCAGAACACCTTTCTGCATTTTCACCCTTGACATGCCTTCTGCATTGGGATCGCAATCATATTGCCGGAACCGATGCAGGACCCTCTGCTGTGAACCTAGAAACCCTCTTCAATTGACTTGGTAAAATTGATTCTTCGGCATTGTTGCCGCTTTCCTTTCTCCTTCATCATCCCTCCTTCATGATACTGTCCTGGCTAGGAATTTTTTCGCCTTATCCGAAGCCTTCGTAATGCATTTCCGCTTGCATCGATGGGGGAAAACACACAAGCAGAGAAAGTCAACGATGAGCAGTATTCGCCACACCCAATACCGAGTAACTCCATTTCGCACAAAACAGAACTTCAGTACAAGAAGGGTAGCTATTGCTTTCCATTCATTTCTCTGGGGTTTGGCGCTCACTCGTAGAGGATTGCATTCGACGACTGTGAATACCCAAGAGCTTTCCGTTCGAATCGCCTTTCCACAATGCAAAATAATCCTGACTTTCCTACCCAGAAAGAGAATCCAGGGTTTATACCGGTATCCTCACATGCGGTGCGCGAATCTCCCATCCTGACTCCCCCCATTCCATTCACATCACATTCTTTTCACCGCACTCATACACCTAAAACTTCCCAATTCAGCCCCCAAGCAAACGCTTTAAGTCTCTAGAACTCATTTCACCTACTCAACACATGAAAACAACAAAATCAATCCGAATACCAACGTTCACAAATCATTTCCCTTACCCTAGCTGCACCGGCTAACAAACGGCTAGTCATAATCCATACAGCACAGTTCATTCGTCCTTCAACCCATAAAAGAACAATCACTTCGCAGCCCAAGCTAAAACTTAAAGCCTCTCTTCAATATTATACAGATTTCAAAAGTCTTTACCCAAAAACAAACATCGTAGTCAAAATAAACTCATCACCCATACACCGGTTCCCACACCTCACCGGCAAAAAATTAGCCGGAGCCCCTTGCAATAATCGGCTAATTTTCATTTCCCCATGGCAATCCACAACTCCATACCGGCTAATCCCCCACAACCCCCATCAAAAACGTCATCTCCTATCCGGTACGCGTAGATTTTTTGATTGATCAGAAATGCCGGAGCGGATGGTATTTTGGAGGGGAGTTTGGAATTCCCACGCACGCAATTTGGAGGGGTTATGATGTTTTTTTATTCAACGGGGAAATTGGGGATTCGGATCACCATTTTTTACGGCTATGGTTAGATGCGGTGGATTAAAGCTGTCACTGTAATGGCGTGCTCAAATGCATGTAAGACAAATATGAATTATGATCCCACAATGATGTGTATGTACAAATTAGGTAGGTAAGTTGTTGTATGTTTATTTAGATTTATTTTGTTTTGCTGAGCTAACTGTCTAGTGAGCCGAGTTACACACCATGCCGTAGCAGTAGTTGTGAATCTAAGCTGTAAATCTACCAGTAGACTTGAGAGATGAGAACAGGAGGAATTTCACTATCCGGAACTCCAGTTATGCTTTCATTCAATCATCCATCATCAACCACATCCCATCGTACCATCTTCTTCCACCAACACATTCAAATATTTATCAATCCCAAGCTGTGATATATGTGAAAATTACCTCCCAGAAACAACCATGGCGCGAATTCAATCAAGCGCAAACTGGCGCAAACGCAAAACGCAAGACCAAACAAGAAACGTGTGAGCAGAAATGAACAAAAAATCATCTTCAGAAGACAATTCAAGCTTCTGTGCCCACACCATCTTTGCGTTCAGCGCCTTTCCTGTCACCGGCATCCTTGTTGTACTTTTTCCATAATGCGGCAATATCTTCCTTGCTCTCATTCTTCTCCGTGATCAAATTCTTCAACCATTTGTTCTCAGTTTCTAATTGATTGATGCGTCCTTCCAAAGCTGCAACTTTGTCGCTCATAGCTTTCGCTGATTGTTCAAGAGCTTGCTCGCGTTGCTTCTTCTTGACTCGGAAGCGAGCTGAAGCGGCCGTATTTCTTCGACGTTTGTCTTCTTCCGCAGCCATACGTGATGCATCCTCAAAGTCGGGGGATCGTCCATCAGATAAAGACTCAGCTTTGCGCTTTTCTCCAACTTGAGGGGAGACAAGGGCAGATGTAGGAGAGCCAGCGGATGAGGGAGGAGGATTGTAGATTTGATGGTTGGTTTGAATTGGATGAATTACCGAAGGCATGCCATCATGATTACCGAAATTGGTAGGGTGGTTGTTGGTGAAGGTGTTGAAGTCTGAGAAATTGAAATCACCTGAATGGAGCATCATGATGTTAGCTTTGCCTGCTTTTTTGAAGGAGATGCTTGAGAAGGGAAATAAATGTGGAATTATATTATAGATCTGCAGGTAGACTGCAACAAGCGACGGCAAACGGGTAAGAGACGAGGATTAGACCGGAGATACACTAATGACTTTTGGGAAGACAAAAGAGTGGAGCAATCATCGAATACCCTAGTCATTGTTATATGACTACACGTGATATGTCGCCATTGCTCGGTAATTGTGCGCGCTTACCAAGCAGCACAATTGAAGGCTTACAAAGCATGTAAGAAGGAAGGAGGGAGGGAAGGGTTCGAGGAACGTTGCAGAAAAGTAATGCAAGAGGATAAGAACTATACCCGTCCTATGCAATCTAGGTGCACGTGGATATGTGCAGGTAAAGGTATTGGCCAAAAGCTGACCAGTGAAACTTCTCGAATAGAGAATTGATCATAGCAGCCCATGTGAAAGGGTCCTATCCCGATATTTTGACATGATATACACACTTGTGCTTAAAAAGTGTGTCTAGTATCCGTCCACAAGATAGAGGGCAAACATGTTCTCCCAAAGATACCGTGTAAAGGAGACACAAGGAGAAAGGAAACAGTCGATATGATAGAAGTACAGAAATTTGACAGCAAAACAGTGGAGAAATGGGGGTATCTCTAACCTGGAAGACTGAAATCTATGTCCTTTAAATCCAAATCAACACTATCCGCAGTCGATTGTGCTCCAACTCCATCAAAGTTTGGTGCCTGCAAGACCGAGTCGATGTCGTAAAATTCGGTGTTCGTGAACATAGCCAATTCATCGTCTACATTGTATGTATCCTGATTGGAATTGTGTAGATCTTGTGGTGTTGGGATTGCGTTGAGATTCGCTATGTATTCCGACACATTCGGACCCCGCCGACCATTGTATGCCATCTTGAAGTATGTATTCGAGAATATGGAGTGACTTTCGTAGCCTTTTCGTCTCTATAATATGGATGTTGCAGATGAAATCATTCGATGGGTGTTTTTGGAAGGGTTGGAAGGTGGGAGGTGATGAAAAAGTTATTCGAATTCTTTTCTTTGTTCTCCGAATTGCGCCCGATTTTTTTTTGGCAAAAAAAGGGACTAGGTTGAATTGATTATCTCGTAGGTCCGCGGCTTCGAGGATTCGACGTGAATGATCGTGGACGTGATTCCCTTGGAAATAAAATGGATGATGAATCCCTTCGGTTAGTATGATCTGGGGAGAAGAATTGAGGATTGAAGGTTGGGGATTGAGTTGTCGAGTTGTTAAGTGGAAGAGACCAATTCCGGAGTGATTACGGATTGTGGATTGTGGATTGTGGGCTTTGGTGGGTTTTCGAGATGTTTGGACTCGAAAGTAGCCTGGTTCGAGGGATGCCCCACTCTAGATTGATCGATTGATGACAAATTTCAAAGAGTAAAGAGCAATAAAAGAGCTGCTGCTATTATTCAGCAAGATGATTCACAAAAAAAAGAGAGCATCGTAGATCTACGCGAGCTACGGTAATCACGGAAATGGGGGGTTATGAGATTATTCGCTTTCACATGCGCGGGTAGATCAATTGTCCTCTCCAGCTGTTATAAGAAATATTTTCCAGATTCAATTCAATACAAGTTGAACGTCTCGCAAAATTTGAGGGGGAGGGGCGGGGGTCGATGTATCCCTCTCCTCTTGTTGTATTGGTACTACATAAGGCGTGATTACATATTACTCTTCTACCCTACTCGTACTCCGTATCTATTCACCTCCTCTGGCTCTTTCTCTCCTCTTCACAGATTAGAGACAAAGTGCTTGATCTGTGATTGGGCACAGTAATTGATTCTCCTTTGATTGTCATTTCATTCACAAAACTTCACGAGATCAAGTTTTCTTTCATTCCATCTTTCCGCCATTGAGCAGCAAATTAGCAATAGCAGGCTTGAGATTATGACGAGTCCATTATAGGTTGATCGTTTCTTTGAATCCCTCGAGCCTCTCTTTATTGTTGGTCGAGCCTTTCTCGCCTCTTTGATGCCCTTCTCCTAACCCTCCCCACTCCCCCTGCCCCTACAATAGACCTACATGTGTTGACGCCTCAAAATATCCTCGGGGTTTGAAAGAATCGGAGCTTTTATGGATATCCCCAAGATATCCCCATCCAATTACATTATCTCTCGCATTCCTACGATACGAAGTACATCGGTGGTAAAGAATGTCATGCGGACTCCATTACACCGAGAGAATAAGAAGTTGCTGCTTTGATTAGTATTGTAAATTTTGGCCTCGGAAGTAGATTTTTTTTCGCCCACATGCATTCTATTCACTATTAAGCGGCGCTGCCATTTCAGACGCTCTCAAGCTCAGAGAGGTTACATCTTCATGTAAAGAGGTCCGAGAGGCCGTGGGCCCGTGGCTAAAGCTCCGGAGGTATCCGTATGGTGGGTCTAGAACAATCAATTTCTTGAAAATCTTGAGGTTGGTGATGATGAGATCTATTTTGGTCAAATTTCATGTTGGTAACTTTTATACATCTTGTCGTCCAAAGCCTAGGTGATTCATCAGGTTGTAAATGACATTGAAGTTCATTATTGCTAAAAATGTAAAATATAGAAAGTAGGCATTAATAACTTAGCTCGATGCTCCTGTCTCCTCGTCTTCACATAAGACCTTATTCCCATTGCGCAATAAAGATTTCCTCGATGAAAAATAATAATGGAAATAAAACCAACGCCATAAATGTCAGAATATGTATTCTACGGCCTTTGAAATACAACGAAATGCCGATAAATGCGAGAAAGAAGCTTGCAAACGTATTCATCTCCCTAATGGTCCAACGCAGATGGTGCACAATCCCAATGGCAAGACCACAATCTTGAATCACGAGTCTTCCATGTCATCACTGGTACCTTCAGCTTCTTCACTATCATCACTGTTATCGCCGACATCAATGTTGTCGCTGCTGTCGCTATCATCACTAATATCATCATCCTCGCCGTTGTCCTCACTGCTGTCGTCATCTAGCTTTGTCTCTGTCTTCAACGAGAGAAAACGATCCGTGGGCTCAGAAGCACCTCTAGCCCATGCCACTCCCAAGGCATCCAACTGTACAGTTAGCTCTTTGCGTACAGTCTCCCTGACGTTCTCTCGGGTCTCGTCATCCTTCGCGACTGCCCACATTATCATATTATTGACCTCTTCTCTGAGGTAACGGGATGTGGCAGAATGCGCCTCTTTCAATAACTCCTCAATATTGGTCGTCATTTTGTTCAGTTTTGCATTGAGCAAGCTTGATGACTCGCGATACATGACTTCATTGCTTCTCTTGATGTGTTCAAGGAGGTGCTCTTTCATCCGGCCAAGAGCTCCTGTTTCTAGAAAATTCATTTATCAGTGACTATGCAATGGTTCCAGAGATAGAATAATGCTTACTGGATTCCTGGCTACACTTTTCATACGCAGGGCGCATATGATGCTGAATCAGTGGCTCAATTAGTCGATGAATATCTTGTGCTTGACGTTGAGCCGAGCTCAAAGAACCGGATACTGCACTTTTCGTCTTCTTCTCCAGGTAGGGTATCTTAGCCAAGAAATCGATTGGTGATCTGGATGATGAGGCTTCGGACATGCTTTGGAGGAGGGGTCTTATGTCGACTGAAAACACTCTAATTGCTCGGACCAAGGCTCCAGCATACCTGTCGTGAACACTCTGCATTTGCGAATTGAATACCTTATCCCAAGGCTGGGCGAGTTGCCCCCAGAACGGCTCTAAGAACACACCGGTCCAATCATACATGGCGTTCTTCTTGTTATTAAATTTGCCAAATCTACGGCAAATAGCTTTCCAGGTCTGGTAAGAAGTGTCTGCGTTCATGAGTTTCTTACAAGCCTCCTCGGCCTTTTCTGTACTCGCTCGAATGCAGCTTCGTAAAGTCGGGAGGATATCGGTCGTGATGATCTCGCGGATACGCGATATTGCAATAGTCAAAGCATGACTAAAGGTCTGTACTAGATTAGATACCAAAACGAATATTGGAACAGGTCATACCTTGTGAGGAGTTTCCAACTTTTCCTCCAACATTGCATTAAGTTTGCGCGTTTGAGACACTGACAGGGAGTTTGGCGAATCGTTTTCGGCCCATGAATTTATACTCACCTTGAGAAGATTGAACTCATTTAAGAAGGAGTCGGCTATCTTTACGCGGACTGTCAAAGTAGATGCTGCTGCATACTCTTGTAGTTTGGGGATATTTGTATCTTTGATTGTTGTGAATCCGTTTGGCATTGGGTCTCGCTTGAAGCGCCCACAGAGTCTCTGGTAGCCCTTAGAGGATACACAAAAGATTTGGAGCTTTTCAGTGAGACCTCCTGTATGGCAACCTTGCATTAGCTTCAAACGATCACTGCGAGTATTGAAATTGGGATACGTACGTTGGTACACCAGATCTTTACTTTCCGCTTCGTCCACATTTCCAAGCTGCCTCTCGTCAATGGAATCATCGGACATATCCTGTTTTAACTCTCGCAGCCCATTCTCGAAGTCCATCCTGAGATGCTCTTGAGTGTACCTGCTACGAGCTTGCGTACAGGCAGCTTTAATATCGTTCCTAATCGACTTGAGTATGAGTCTCAACTCAGTGAGCCTCTTTCCAAGCATCTTCATGGCCTTGACATTATGCGCTTTCTTCTTCGTCAAGAGTCTTTTACTTGGTATCTCCATGTCTGTAGACTTCGAGTCACCCGATGGTTGGTGCCCATCTCCTGTCCTGTGTTCCTTGGCATGTTTGCGCTTGCGCTTGCGTGATGCAGAATTGTCAGCTTTTGTCGACTCGACATTACTCAAGAGCAACCTCAGTGCCCGTTTTATCTTCTTGAGTTTAGTAGATTTCTGAGCCAATTTTTGCTGGCCATCTTGTATCTCCTTCAAAATATCTGCTTCTCGGCCCAGAATATCCTTCAGGTTCTTCTCACGAAGCTGCAATGACTCTATAACCTCTTCATTGTTGATAATGTCGGTTTTCGTCATGATAAAGGTGACATATTTATCATCGTACTTACCGTCCATGAGTAGTTGTCTTCTGAACGATTTACCCATTAGATCCTTGGCGACCTGATCATCGATTGCACGAACAATATCAGCCACGATCCATACGTAAGTAAGTTTCTTGGCGTAAGTTTCAGCGACTTGCGTTCGACCTGTGTTAGAGTCTCCTAGGCCAGGCAGATCGACTAATACGAGCCCATGTCGAAGGATCTCAGCCTTTGTGTATATGCGAACACAACGCACCAAAGGCCAGAAGGATATCCCATTTGAGGATTTTTGTTTGTTATTTGAATCGATGTATTTGTTGATCTCTCGTGAAAAGGGCTTGGCTTTGCGCTCTGCGATCTCCAAATGGCAATCCAATATATTAGAGACGCCATCGATTTGGTCAAAAAGTTCCTGTGAAGTCATGCCCTTAAGTTTGGAAAGAGTGACGCTAGGCCAAACTGCAGATATCTTCGCAAAAGCGGTGCTTGCCTCGCTACCAGATTTAACAGAAACGTCTTCTCCTTTAGTGGCGTTCTTTAGATCATCCAATAAAATATCCATTTCTTCTTTCCATTCCATCTCGCTGATAAACTCAATTTCAGCGCGAAAGGCCTTTTCAGGATCATCAGAGTCGTTCCATGAAATTTCTGTGACCACCGACGTGCTGGCACGCATTGCATTTGCGGGAACTACCATTTCCTCATCGATGAGCGCATTGATTAGGGATGATTTGCCGCTACCGGTATATCCAAGAACCCCGACAAGCACACGAGGGCGTTTGATGCCACTGAGAATTTGCTCTGCAAGTATGCCACGTTAGTTAAATTCAATCACTCTAGTCAGACAAAAACATACTCGTTTGGTCTTGCCATGTTTTAAACTCAGGAAACATAGCTGTGTGTCCTGCCACGATACCTTCAGCTTTCCTCAAGAAGAGAATGCTGTCGTTGACGGCGTTTTCTTTCCTCAAAACCGTGATCGATTCATATTGGGCGGTAGCAAGATCTGTTCCGTCGCTCACCGCTGACGCAGACTCATCAATGATTTCTGTTTTGATTCCACTTTCTCTTGGTGAGACCGCAGCACCATCAGCTTCTGCTTCCCGTTTTTGACTTGTAATTGGTTGACTCATGGTCGTGTGAGATTGGCCCACTTTGAAGTTAGCAGATCCAGCTTAACGAAATTATATGAACTCTTTTGTAGAAGTTGAACACGAACTGTAAAAGAGAGATTCGATGAAGATTGAGGGTGGCAATTAAAGAATGAAAAGCTCGTGATGAACAATGATGCAAGATGATGATTTAATGATTTTTCACTTACTGTGAGAAAAAAGGATTATAGACTGTAGAAAACTAAGAGCGAAAGATAAGAACACGTGTGGAGGTCTGTTTGATGATTGTTAGGAAGGTTGAGCAGGAAGCTTTACCTTCGAAGGTGAGAATACTGCGTTTGAGACCAATCTTCAAATTAAACCTGCAGACCAAACCCTAAGAATCAGTACAGTTACGGTAAGGAACTTGCAAAGGTTGAATAAGGGTCGATAGCTTCGTGATATAAACTAAAGAAAGTAGAAATTTGTAGCTGGATGGTTGTCGTGATAGTTTCGTTGAGAGTAACAGGAGGAAGAGTGTGAGACTAGGCCAGTCGAAGGGTATACCGCTCGCTAGCGTGATTTTCAGAAGGGGGAAGGAGCTCCTCGTCCATTGTTGCGGGGTTAATCAAATTGCTGAAGTTATTTGCAGGAAGGCGTTTGATCTATAATTCGTACGAAGAGATTTCCGTTCAGGCGCTTGCTGTTTTCACTAGACAGAGACATTGAAGCTTGATTTCCACGACGAAACTTTTGACGGTGTATTCATACTTTGGTCTAGAATTTGTCATCTGTTATATTTGGATGGCCCGGAATGAGATGTGCACTTGTCCACCTATCTCGGGGCAAAAGTCTGATGTTACACTTCAAATACCGATTCAATGTTGTCTGATAAATTTCTTAGGGCGGAGGGCATTACATGATCCCTAGAAGGAGACAGACCTAACATCGAGAAATGAACTGGGAAGTGCTATATTCCGAGAATCTCTGGAGGGTGCAAAGTTTGTGCAGCTGGCTACTTTCAATAGACAGAACGTGATTTCTTTCCCGTACATTGCCGCCATCTCTAATTCATGGATGACGCCACCATCAATTTGGGGGTCCCCAAATTCTAGTTTTCACGAATGACTTCACACTCTAGAGCTACCAAATAAGGATAGACGGCCAAAGCACACTATCTAAAGCCGTTGCACTTAGAGGGAGAGTGTGATATAACAATCTAGGTGCCATCGCCATGTTAAAAGACCAAGGAAAAGTGTTGTTATCCAATGCTTTGCACATATCGGTACTCGGAACATTCTGTCCTTCACAATGCCTCTGGAACCCAGATAAGAAATGTTCCAAATACTGTCTACGGGCTCATCACATATGAAGATGGAAAGCCAGGCTAGTCAAAGAACTCGACACAAGTATTTGATCGTAGTAATGTATTGTTCTCACAGGACGTTTGAGACCACTTCCTCGAACGCCGTTAAAAAACCATCTTGGGTTCTCCTATAACTGTTCTAGAACTACCTAGCAGTCTTGAGACTAGTGGACTTTACGATATTTCAGCCCATGAATGCCGGCAGCTGTGAGGACATTTATTGCGGCTAACTCATGATTGCACATTCAATGTTAATCATAAGTGGAGATGTTGGCTTATTTTTGAAGCGGAAAAGCCATTGAATTGTATGCATTTTACTACTCCGTACGTTGAGGGTCGGTATGATTTACCACCAGGGTCCGGTGCTAGTTCCACTATATCAGCTGATCGCGATGATTTCGCGACACACAACGCGACAAACAACACCAAAACGCAACATCAAGAAAGAGATCTGCGAATTAACGAAACCGATAATGAAGGTATCATCTAATTCTGAGATTCATGTTGCTTGATTAGTATTCACTCTCTTCCATCGATCATGGCCGCAGTATCTATACCGACTACCTCTGCGCTTCCTCCCTCTCAGCTTGTTCCTTCAACGCACCCCTCCGTACACAAACTTCTATCCCGTCTTTCGCGACCTTCCCTACTCACCCTAGCCCTCGACTGGCTCGACGAACGTAATCAAATCAATACCGCGCCATATCTTCTCGAAGCCAACGATTCTGCCTCAGATTATGCGCAAGATCTCTACCCACCTCATGCTACCCTTGGCTCTCTCAGCGAACTCTATACTTCCTTTACAACGCAAAAAGGCAGTAAGCGCGATGTCCTCGATCGAATACTGGAGGGAGACTGGAGATATGGGATCACACTATATCAATTAGCCATGGCGGATATGCAATATCTTTATGATCATCCTACATCACAGAAATGGACTGCCCTGAAAATTGTGCCGTTGTCATCCTCGTCTCCCGACCATGAAGTTCCAAAGGAAGAAAAGAAAGATACAGCACTACCTCGATTCCATCCGTCGACATTCTTACAAAATTTACAAAAAGAGGTGCTACCAGATGTAAAAGCTCATTACAATCTCGATCGTCATGCTACTTTACCTCTACTGCTTCTGAGAATCTATATACTGGATTCACCATACAACACATCGCTTGCGCTTTCATCGGGATCTAACAAACCGAGCATGGCATTCGACTCTAGCAAGACGTTTTACATTGCTTTCCCAGATGCTTCGCCATATATTTATGTTTCATTGAGTTCCACAGCAGGGAGCGCCAATGGAGCAACCGACACAAAGAGCCTACGGAAATTGACACTGGATGGAATTCCAAAAGCGTTTAGCAGGCCAAGAGAAAGGTACAAGTTAGAGGGTACTGGATTTTCCACGAAGAATTTGGAGGCGCTGTGTGAGAGGAGGGGAGGAGGAAGGCATAACGCAGCAGGAGGTGCATGGGAAGTTTATGCAGGAGAAAATAAAAAGGACAATCCATTGAATCCGATATTACCAACATCTGAGGACTCACCGACTGGGGAACAAGTGGAGAGCGTTGACAATGAGAAAGCAATACCGAGAAATATGAAAAGACCCAGAGAAGACGATGCGCCAGAATTGGCAAAGAGACGAAAGAATGTAGCAAAAGCTCGTTTTGGGAACTCTGCAAAACCCAATGACGGAAAGGGCATTGAAAGACTGGATATTCGCGTCGAAGACCCTTTTCCTTCATTCTTTTCCATAACACCTGAACCAGAAAATGAATTAATCACGGAGCGACAACAAGGGAAGAACAAAGGGCGAAGAAGTACTATCGAAGCTGAGTTTGATAGATTGAATAGAGAGGACAGTGAGGGAAGAAATGAAGCAGAAAGGGGCGAAAGAGGGAGGGATTTGTGGAAGCCAGATATCAGAATAACATTCCAGGGAATTCATGTATTTGCGGGGATCCGAGAATTAGTTGAAGCAGGAATAGTGGACGGAGAGAAAATGCCAGGATGGATGACTGGCGAAGAGGGTGTTACTTTGGGAGTTGTGAGGAGGGGAAGGGTTAGGGGATTCAAGGGAACTGGCGTCTGAGTGATACTCGTAATGAGTATGTGTGATTATATTGGGAAGTTTCGGACTTTGGTGTTTGGGTGTTTGGGTTTGCCTTGATACCTGGAGTTGGAGGTTTCCCGTTCTCATTGAGGCAATGCAAGAACCAAGATGTTTTCGCACGATTCGTACAGCATTGACTGATTTAGATCATGAGAAGATCTACAATGTCGAATGCGGAACTAACTCAAAGGATGTTGTGACACCAACCCTATTTCTCTATTAGTATGTGAATATGTTTATTTGTTTGCTGTTGTAGTAAGACGTAGAAGCACCTTATATCATAGGTCTTATTCACAGAAGCCTAATCCAACTGTCAAATGATTTATAATTTGGATCTAGATTCTAGCCATCTAATATAATATGTACACAGGCATCTGTAAGCAAAATAGACAAACACTACTCACGCTCCCAAGTCGAACATCTTGCAGCTATTCTTCCATGCCGCCTCCCTCAATTCTTTCACATTCACCCCTTTGACTCCTGCAACGACCCACGCTACCCGACCAATCATACAAGGTTCATTTCTACCTTTAATCATTACCCCGTCTACCCATTTCTCCTTCTTCACACTCTTCCAACCCTTCCCGCCCTCGATAGATTTTTCGCCCTCGCTCATTCCTTCCCCTTCTTTCCCTTCCTCGAACCCCTTCAACCATTTCGAACTTGCATGACTAGGTCTGATCTCACACCAAGGTCCATCAGTCTCAATTTGAAGTCTCTCCATAGGTATTGCTTTCACCACTTCCAAGTTCTCTTCTGTTTTCAATGAACAACCATTCACCCCGATATCAAATCCCAAAGCGACCAGTTCCTCCATTTCCTCTTTTGTTCCAGTGAAACTATGAACCACTCCTCTCTTTGGCAACTCTTCTAATCTGGCCTTTAAGATTCGTACAAAATCTTCATGAGCAGCGCGCGAATGAAGAAAGAGTGGTAGATGTAGGCGAGTCGCTATATCGAGTTGCTTTTCAAAGTATTCTAACTGGACATCTTTTGGGCATAGAGTCAGACGATCGTAGTCAAGGCCGAACTCTCCAAATGCTACGCAGTGATTTGTATTTTTCGCTTCTAATGCCAACGACTCGAGTTCTTGAAGGTATTTATCCGGAGTATTTGGGGCTTTCGTGAATTGGAGACAGGAACAGGGGTGGACGCCAACGGTTGCGAAGAGTACCCCGGCTATGAGAATCGGCTGTTAGCTTTTGCTACTTCCCATTTTCCACTTCTAAATTTCTAAATTGAAGATGCTTACAATGTTCCTTAGATAGTTCAACAGCCTTTCTAGACTCTTCTAAATCGGATCCAGTAACGATAAGTTTCTGACACCCTGCAGTAAGAGCTCGTGAGATAACAGAGGGCAGATCGGCTGGATGACGTTGTGTATCATAGTAGATTCCAGAGTAGACGGGATCGGTAAGATTTATACCTATCTACTGTGAAAAGACTGATCAGCTATTGTGTCCGCGGTCGAATAGATGCTAAAGTCTTGAGCAGGAGAATGTACATCTACATAACGGGGCTTATCCCCTTGCCCAGCTTCGAGGACACCATTGGTAGCTGTAGACATATTGAGTCTGTGACTGTGAATACTCAGTGATGCTGCGGAGTTTAATCGCGGTTTTAGAAAAGAGTTCGTGAACCTGCAAAGTGGGCGAAGGTGATTCATGGAGTGAAATGAAGTACTGAATGTTGAGGAGGTGAAGAAGGCTGTGATGAAATTTGCGGGGTGACAGCCTTGCGCTAAGAAATACTAGCGGGGAACACCTCCCTCATTTTGTTGATGAACAAGCCATGGCTGACATGAATGCAATGTTGTAAGGCTGAGTTCATTCTCCATAAACTTGTGCATGCACGCTCCTATATTTCGTAACGCAGTGTCTAATTTGTGGCGTCATGTCGTGCCATTTTGCTCTCTGCATATGTATGGCTGTTGAAACCTCACTCCTTACGTCTATGGAAAAATTCACTACTATAACCTCCTTTTCCTTGGATTCTCACATTGAGTGATAGGGGCAGGCCAGAGAAGGTCTTCACACAATTCGCATTGTCATCCACCAACAACCATAAATCACAGGGAGTTTGAGACCAGATGTCTTGTGCAAAACAATTTAGCATGCTACAAGCAAAGGGTATAGCTAAGAAAAATGCATCTAGTATCTAAACATTCTGGACCTTTTAGGTCATCATTAACCATCCTTCATTCCATTCATATGCGCATATCATAATATCCATCCCAATTCATATCGAATCTAACCATGCCCAACCTGTACACCTTTCAAATGCAAATATCATGCTCTTGCTCGCTCATTTTCATATGCTCATGCAATCATATCATGTCATGAAAAATACTAATGAAAAACAGTAAAAAAATTTCTCCACAAAAAGAAAACGCCAACCAACTGATATCAATCCTCCCATAATGATCATGCTAAACTTGAATGACCTTGCGTAAAAGCCTGCAATCTCAAACCACTCAAGGCGGGACCGTCCTTAGTACTGCTGGCATTGCTTCCACCCCTACTCCTCCTTGTCCCAAGTATACGGTGCTCACCAGGAATCTTTCCATTACCACCGACCAAAGTTTTACTATGAGTTAGATGATCCAAATCATCACTCGAATGAACAGCATCAACTAGATCATCAAATTTTCTAGAGGTTCCCGCGATTTTAGCGCCTATAACGGCCAAAGAATCGCGCGTTCGTCTTAATCCATCAATATTGTTGTGTGTTAATCGTTCGAGAGTAGTATGAATACCTCTCAACTCAGTTTCAATCTTTGGAAAAGTATAATCGGAAATTCCGCGGATTCGTGTACCGCTATCATGAGCCAATTCGTCGAGTTGTGAGACTGCTTTGTCCAGTTCCTTGGTAAGTCGCTTGTTTCCTTCAAGAACAACGGATTTTACTTGTGCACCGGTTTCGAGTACACGATTGTCGATTCGGGCTAGTGCTGCGCCATTAACGCGAACGGCGGTTGTGGTCTGGCCGACTGTTGAATCGAGGTTTAGAATATTCGAAGATAAGGTGTGGATCGTTGAAGAGTTTATTTCAGCCGATGAAATCAAGTCGTTCTTGATGTTTGAGAGTAGCGAGGCATTGTCGTTTATTTTTGTAGAGATATGTTCAACGGAGTCACGGATGGATCCAGTGGCGTTGTCACAGTTCTGCAGTTTTTCCAGGGTTTGAGCATTGGACTCTCTTTGGAATGTCTGGAGGCTCGAGAGGGAATAGCTGATACCAGGAATGTCAGTATGGGTCAATGTATCCACGGTAGTATAAGTATTTAAAACTGTCTCACGGATATTTGAAAGCCTCGCTGCGTTGCCTTCTACGGCACTAATGGTCTCCAGAGCGGCCTTTGAAAGGGCTTGGTCCACGGCCTCAATTGCTTTTCCAATCTTCGCAATATCTCCAGATAGAAGATACTTCATCTTGTAGTCCAGCTGAGATAAGGCCGATGCATGGTCATTAGCGATTTGAATTATCTGGGGAACGGCCTTCTCGATAGAATCAACGGAGGCTTGGTTCTTGGCCGCAGCGGACTCGAGTTCACTGAAATCGATGGCCTGGATGTCCTGGCGGATCAGGGGAACTTGTTTATCTAGAAGGAACCTAATGTCATTGGTACTTGTAGCAATGCTTGACTTGATGTTTGTCAACATCTCAGTATTACCTTGAACGTCTCTCCCAGTCTCCTTGATCGCCTCATCAATCGAAGCTACAAATTTGGATATAGAATCTATTGACATGTTCATTGAAACGTTCTCGGATGATCTGATGTTAGTAAATGCTTCAGGGAGGGCGGCCAAATTTCCCGCGGTTTCCACGGAAGTTTTGTATGTTGATTGAACATCTCTGCTCAACGCATCAATAGATGTGTTTGTTGGACCGAGGTCAATGTTTTTGATATCCGATTTCAATTCGCTCGTAGTGGATGTCAATCTTGAGCCAAGATTCTTCATTTCACTCTCAAGTTCAGTAGCTACATCATTGATTGAAGCAACAAGCGCGGATTTGTTGTCGTTGAGGTTGGTTCCGATTGCTGAATGAAGGTTTTGGATGGCAGTAGTGACTGATTCTTCGCTATCCTTGATCTTTGTGTTGACGGAAAGGATTCCATCGTAAGCCGAAGCAAGAGATGTTGTGTTGTTGTTAAGAAGTTCTCTAATTGCGAGGATTTCACCCAACGTTTTCTCGATGCTGGCATTCTTGATTTCCAAAACGTCGGTATGAACAGCTCCGATGGATTGACCGTTAGAATCGGCGACCTTCATGATAGCTTCCAAAGCTTTCAAAACTTCTCCCTCTTGGGAACCCAAGCCTGCTGTAGTCGAAGAGGTATTAAGGTTCTTAATTGCCTCCATGATTTCCTGATCTTTGCTTCCGTCCTTGATGGTATCAAGAATGTTCTTCAAAGCAGCAATGTCTTGAATCATTTCGCTCTTTCTGTTGTCAGCTTTGACGGAGTCAACAAATTCCTTCATGATCATGAGTTGTCCAAGAATCTCATCGCTTCGTTTATCCTGCTCCATTGAAGATTTGACATGCTCGATAGCGCCTAGAATCTCGTTATTGGCACCGCTCTGCTTGATGTCCCTCAAGACAACATCTTGATTGTCTAGAGATGTACCGAATCTTTCGAGTTGGGTATGCAAGCCTTGAATGCCTTCACGTCCAGTAGCCGTGCCATTTTCAACGTGCTGGTCGATAGTCTCTAAGCTGATTGTGATCGTCTTGAGGGTTGTTTCAGTGCCGGAATGGAAAGTAGATAGATCATGAGAGATAGTATCGAGTTTCGTGGATTGAGATGCCAAGAGCGTAGCGAGAGAATCATTAAAAGACGCGGATTGAAGATTGTTGAGCAAAGTGGCAATGTCGTCAAGCTTCTTTGTGTCTATGGGCAACACAGTTTGCCTGTGAATATCCTCAAGAGAGTTGCTTTGAGTTTCAAGTCTTGCATCCAACTCTGCCCGCATATCTGATAGTCGATTGACCAAGTCATCAAATTTGGCCACTTCATTGCTTGGGAGAAGGGCTGAAGTTGTCTTCGAGACACCATCTTGGATTCCGGCCATTGATTCAGCGAAGCTAGTCATCATTGATGCGATCATTGTGAGTTTGTCTCTATGAGCATCGAATTGAGATGTATTCAATGTTTTCACGTGTTGCTCAACTCGATCGAGAGCGTCTTTCACAGTTATTGTTGTAGAGGTAAGAGTATCCAATTTCTCCGAGTTAGAGGTGTGTATGGATTGGTCGTTCGCGGAGACATGCTCATTGACCGATTCGACCACTTCGTTGATCTTGGTGACTTGCTCGATGATGTTGCTGAGACGAGATGTGTTGGTCGACAATAATTTCGAATCAATGGATGCCAGCTGGCCCTGACCTTCCAATTCCTTTCGAACAGTGATAATGCTTCTTTCGATATCATCTAACCTCTTTGAATGATGTTCCAGTGATGATGTGTTAAGGGAAGAGACAATATCGCGGACTTCTTGGATATTGCGAGCCAATCCTTTCTCTGTACTCTGGATGTTCTTCTGGGAGTCTTCCAATTTTGAGACACTTTTCTTCAGACTTTCCATTCTATCTACCATCTGGGAGTTTTCATTCAACATCTCATCGAGCTTACTAGAGTTCGAGGACGATGAATCAAATTCCATAGAGGAAACTTTGTTGATGACATTTCGACTGGATTTTCCGAGATCCTCAACCATTCCAATCAATTTTCGGTGACTGCCGTCAATCTTCTTACCCAAATCGCCTTCGACGGACCACAGTCTTTCCCCAAGCATCTTGTTTCGGTCCTGGAGTTCGTTGGATAATTCACCGAACCTGATGGCAGATCTTAAATCTGCGTTAACAATCTCTCCATCAAGGCTGGTTATTTTCTCTTCAAACTCGTCGAATTTCGTGTCAATACCAGTCAGGCGCTCATCAAGTGACTTCAAGTATTCTAAAATCTTCTTTTGACCTTCAACGAGAGACTCAATGTCGTCCTCGGTGTCTGGAACATCGTCAATCAATTGACTGATTGGTTTTAAAGCTGGATCCAAAGTAGCTTTAATGTTTGAGGTGCTGAATGATGACTCAAGGTTCAATGTTGTAGCTTTCAAAGCATTCAACTTTTCTTGCTGTCGAGAAAGGGCAGCGGTCACGGGATCAATTTGAGAGGCAATGACATTTCTGAAGGCATCACTATTGAGTGCATTTAAAACAGCTTCCTCGACAGCTTTCTGGAATGGTTCTTCCGAGCTTGGAGTGTATTCCGTCCAAGAGTTTAATCCGCCGGACGTGGTTGGTCTAGTCGCACCGGCCGTTCCAGGTGGTGCGGAAGCGGTGGACGAGGTACGTTTGTTCTTCCACCGGTTAAGAACCGATCGACTACCGTTCAACGACATATTGAGCGCCGAAGGTGTTTTGGGGTTGGATTAATCGAAGAGTAAATTGATGCTGATCGCGAGAGAGGTGTTTGCTTGATTGATGGATGATGATTTTTACGTTTGGTGGATTTTTATCTCAGAATTGTATGATTATCGACCGACTTTCTGGCTTGGTGTGATGGTCATGATGTTGGAAAGTTTTCCATGAGGATGAAGGAGGTGAAGATATTGAGAGAATGTATAGTAAAAATGAAGGGGGTTGGTGAAATGGATATCAATAAAAGGTCAATTTCGATAAGAAGAATGGATGAGCCGTATACGAAGTATTAATGAAATGAAATAATTAATGCTCTCTCTCTTTTTTCTCTTTTTTCTCTTCCTTCGTCTCCTCTATCTACATGTACATGTTTATGCTGTTTATGCTGCCATGCAAGCAAAGACCATGTGGCGCTGGGGAGTGGAGTGC